GATTTGAAACGTTTGTCTTTTTCTCTGATAATATTCAAAGTTATACCTGTTTAGGATCATTATTTAGAATCATTACTTTAAAATGTGTGCCTATTTATCTGATACCACTGCTACTGCTACTATAATCCTTTATTATTTGCGGATCTATAGGATATAGTGTCGCTGATAAGTTGTAACTCTGTGCTAAGGATGACGCTTCTCACTGACGATGCCAGCAACATGTCTGGGAATGTACCAAGTTAACGGTTCAATGCCGAAAATCATTATGAATATATTGCCTTACGTCTTAACGATACTATTACCGTAATAATAATAATATTTGCCGTTAAAACATATGAAATGTATATCATTATGTGCCCCGTTTCGTATAGAATATACTTAGCTTTGCCAGCCTATCCCAGCCCTGGCACAATATTATTTACAAAGTTTAATAAATCAAGACAATCAGGACAGCAGTTAGGACGCCTTATTGTACAAATTCTAATTATTCTTGGCAAACCCACTATAATGGAACGAACGTTTCCTTAAATTATTGCTGAATATAATACCTCTTACATTCAATTTAAACTCCTTTATTTACTTTTTAGGACATAATTCGGCGATATCGCAAATCTCCTACAGGTCCCAGGACCACTTTTGATGAATTTCCCGACAAAGTGGCTATCCAACTGAATGACACGCATCCTTCTCTTGCAATACCTGAGCTTTTGCGTATTTTAGTTGATCTAGAGGGCTTGCCTTGGGAGAAAGTAAGTAATATTAATCATACATGTAGACATATTCTTTCTCTTGTATAAAATGAACAAAAATTTCATTCCGTGAGTATGGATAAAGTTTCGGCTATTTAATAAAGATACATAAAATGATGGCTGATTGGGAACGATACTCTGCAGCACGTATCCAGTTTGAAGTCACTTGCTTATTTGCCCTTTGAGTGGTTTTCCTTGAGGTTATACTTTCCCTCGCCTTATTCTTATTTATTAGAGGGTTTTTCTTATACATGAACTTTCGTTTATTATAGGCACTTTCTTGTGATCTATAACTCTAACGCATGTCTTTATGTTTGTTAATTTCCTGTGCCTGTGGACAAGGCCGAAATTCAAATGTTATCTGACGTTGCCTAGACACGTTTTAGTTATTATGGCTCGAGTTATTTGTTTCGTCGAATTGTTATATTTAATTTAAACATCTTAATGTGTTAATTGTTTTTTAAGCTTATCGGACATCTTGTAAATATGAAGATGCTTTTGCCTCCAAGGCATATTCTTCGACTTCTGAAATTATTATCTTTCGATTTGTAATTCTGTTACTTTTAACATTTATGCGAGACACAAACAATTACACAATATTGGGACTTTCTATATCGAAGGAAAAGTTAGTTGGAAGGAGTTTGTGGTGTGGTATTACCAGAAACCGAAGGAAGATTGCCGCGTAGGGGAGATTGATGAATTGTGCGAAGAAGTTCTCGGCCTACCGTCCTGCGACGCCGATGAAACTGTGCTAAGCTTTCGTCTGTAATATGATAGACATCATCAGAGCAGCAATCCATACTTAACGAAGCAGAGCAAAAAAATTTTTTTCTTGGTTTAATATAATTTTCGCTCTTTTTAGTGAATTATGGATTCTTGCTCTGATACCTGTCGCGTTACAGATATAAGCTTAGCACAATTTCATTGGGGTCGCAGGACAGTGAGCCAAGGACTTTTTCGTACAATACAATGTGTCAATCTTCCTTCGGTTTCCGGTGAGACCACATCACGAATTTCTTCCAATCAATTTTCTTTCGAAATGGAAGGTCATGACACAATATGCCACTAAGGAATTCTTCGAAACCATGTTTTTCTTCATCATACAATATATATATTAATTTCTAAACTTTTTCTAAAATATTACGGAATTATTCGAACTTCTTATTCTAGTTTCCCTGCTCTTGTTCTCTTCGCTATCACTATGCCTTAATGCGTTTTTAGGCATGGGACATTTCCTATCGCACCTTCGCTTACACAAACCACACTATTTTGCCTGAAGCGCTTGAACGGTGGCCCGTTACTATTCTGCACAACATCCTTCCACGGCATCTGGAAATAATCTACCGGATCAATCACGAATTTCTTCAGGTAGGCTTCTTTATATACGAAAGATGATTAATTAAAACATTTCCAGCCACATTTAAAGTGGTCAGAATCTTCTACGATCTTAAATTTTTGTAAAATATAGTCAAAAGATCCACAGTGTGAGTAGCTTATGATTATATAAATTATTAATCTATTACTATTTTTTCTATCTCCGAAGATTGGATGTTAAATTGTCATTCTAATTGGCAATAGTCCAATTACTTTTATATTTCCAACTATCTTAGTTTGCGCAATCACTATTTTTGCTCATTTGTGATGCGTTTGAAACATTGATGTGCTTCTCGTAGAAGCGTATTACCAGCACTTTCTTTCTCCTATTTTTGTTGATTTAGCATTTTAGGCCATAAAAAATCTTTCTTTTATCAATTATTATTCCACTACTAAGATGACTATTACCTTCACTACTAATGCTGCCTATAATTATACGGATATTTATATACGTAGCATAAACTGCACTGCTATCTTGCTGTCATGGTTTGAGTATTACACTTGGAAATCAAATTATCTGACCTTGATACACAGCCTCATACTGATGAATTCCTCTGCATTATTGATTCTATACTGCTAGTAATTGTGTGTATGCTAAAATATGCACTTGTTGAGGTCCCCATTAGTAGTTTAAGTTCAGGTCAGATTCCGATTGGAATCAAGCTTTAAGCGTTGATGCTTGAGCCACATCGTAACCACAGGCGGTACAGGTCGAGTGTTGGCCCAGTATAAGTCCATTTTGAAATTATTTATTTAGAAACCGACTCTCAGTAACATCTAAGCTGAATCTGTTAATTATGTGCTTTCTTATCCTTGTTTATATTTAAAGATATGATTTGTATTCTATATTTGGAATTATTTTATTAAAATTCAGTCTTGCACTTAATGAAAAGTTTATCAGTTTACAATAAATATAGTCCCTATACGTCACCTAAATGGTAACTAATTAATTGACTACTTATTACTTTGCTTGCCTCTTGTGACCCCTTTTCATCGGTGATGAATAAAATATATCTACAACTAAATTGTAATTCTCTAGGCTTTTGTTGATCTGTATCTGTATGATCTTTTTCTGTAATCTTTTGTACACCATTTTTGGCATTAACTAGGGTGCTTTTATTCGGTGTATGATAATTTAAATTAAAAGTTAGCTTTCGTACTTTACAAATAACCCATTGAATATGTTGAAGAAGTAAGATACCAAGTGGGATAGACCCTGATCCGATATCATAAAGTTAACTAAGAGCTTCCTCGAAATGGCTTTTCAACATATAATAGTTTCCTTAAAAGTCATTAATTCACACTCAGATCAAGAAATTAATGACAGGCATAGTTGACCACAGTTCTTAACTCGCCTTTATCCCGTTCGAAAGTTTATGAGTAAAACATTCGTAGATCTAGCCAATTAGGAATAGTCATTGGCATTTTCTGGTTGCTTGGGCTTATCAAAATGTATTCTAGCTCTGAAAATTTTAGCTAATAAAATATGTCCTTTTAAATTAATGGATCGGTATTTCGCAATAATTTACAAGTAAATAGCTTTATAGGGCAAGACAGAGTTCGCAAGTTTACTTGGTTA